CTTCACAGTTAGAGTGGCCAAGGTCTGGAACGGGCTCCCAAGGGAGGTGGTGCTCTCCCCTACCCTGGGGGTCTTCAAGAGGAGGTTGGATATGCATCTAGCTGGGGTCATACAGACTCAGCGCTCTTTCCTGCCTATGCAGGGGGTCGGATTCGATGATCTATTGAGGTCCCTTCCGACCCTAGCATCTATGAATCTATAACATAATAACAGGTACTAACTTAATGCACCATAATTATGGCGCATTAATGACATGCCCAGAGAATGTTTGTTAAAGTAAGCCATATATACATGAGCAGTATAGGCTGGAGGGAAATTGGAAAACACAGCAAATTCAAAAAGATCCACAGCCAGTCTGTGCCATCATTGTCCAACTTCCTGAATCTCCCCCAGGCAGCACAGGTGAGTGCTTGTTCTTGTGCTTTGCTATGTAAATAATAAAAGGTCAGGCTGTAGTCCTATCTCTTGTGTCTTTTATCAGTAGCCAACGTACCAGAAACCTGTATTCCAGGTAACATTCTGCACATCTTCTGGAAGTAGAAGCAGTCTCACTAAAAAAGGAAGTGGCATAGCACAGCTGCTTCAGCAGTGTTATGTCAGTGAAAGGCAGCAACATGTAGAGCTTTCCAAGCTCACTCTGCCTTTGCCACCTTCCAATCAAGAAACAGTTTAGCCACATCAATCTAGTGCTGCCTCAGCTATGCCAGGCTAGAAGGTGGGTACTCCCACCAGTTTATGGCCAATTATATATGTTCTTGTCCATAAAATAAACCCTTACATTTTTTTCCAGACTAATAACACCCTGACAGTTCTTTCAGTTCAACTAGTCTTCCTCTTTTGGACAGAACTTCCCAACAGTCCTTAATTCTTGGGAATTCTGCTACTCTTCAGTAACTCCTCACCAAAATCTCACTCCATGAACAAGTGGCCCTCAAATGCCTGTCTGGGTGGTATTTGGTAGATCGCCCCATGAATGACTCATGCCCCTAGTGGCTGGGGGGCACAGCAGCCGTGGTGGGAGCGCCATGGCGGGGGGAGCCCCGTGGCGGCAGGGGGGGGAGCCGCTGGCGCTGGTCAGTGGCGAGGGGTGGGGTGGTGTGTGAACCAATCAATAAAATACAATATTTTTTTTGTCAAGACCAGAAAACCTTGTTTACTGGCATTTTCAGTGTCTAATGTTTTATCAATAGTTCTGAATGAACCATTCCATTCATTTGTCTGTGACTGAAAACAGGCTATACAGCCAATCTGTATAGTTCACTGGGTCAACGTTTTTCTCCAACTCTTTAGAATTTCCCCAGGTTTCCAAGTTTTGCTAAAAATGACCAAACTTGGGTCAGACAGCTCCTCAGCTCATTTTTTAAAGACTTCCAAACATAAATAATCCAGGTCTGAAAATGTTAGATTTTACAAGATGCAGCCTGCTATTGCACATTAACTTTGTTCCATCTACAACATCATATGGTCCATCCCAAATATAGAGCAGACCTATCATTTGAAAATTTCTGCATTTTGTGCCTCACTATGATGCTACTGATTGATTTTCCCATTAGCATCTAAGAAGAGAGATATCTGAGTTACTGTTCTTTTCATTTCCAATCTGCTTAAAATGTCTTATTATTTTTAAACTTATTAGCCATTCGTATTTCATTGATGTCCTTAGATTCCCTTATCAATTTGTTACATTTTTAATTTATAAGTTTATTCAATGACAATAATTTCCCCGTTAATTAACTTTAATATCAGTTTTTTTATGGCTTAGCTTAGCCTTCAGATAACCTTTTAATCAAGGTATTTGCACACCATAAATTTTGTGTGTCCACAGAATTGTGAATTTTTGGATGTCCAGCAAGATGTCCTTGAACAACTCGAAGATCCCACTAATAATTACCACTTTAAAGTTTATGTTCCCAGATAGTTATGCCAATAGTTGGTATAAGGGTTTAGGAAATTTCCAGTTATATTGATTAGTGCCATACTCCTTTGGTAGAAAGATATTGTAACTGGATTGTGATCACTACTACTAAGCAACTGCTAATTATTAGGTCAGTGATCAATTGGTCTTTGTCTGTCAGAATAAGGTCCAATTACTGATAATTTCTGCAGGACTTTGTGTTGAGAAATCCTCATCTATCATTTTAAAAAACTTTAAGGAAGTCTTGTTAATGGCTGCATGAAATGTCCAGCAAATGTCTCTCAGGTTGAAGTCTTAAGTACTCATTACCTCTAATGGTAATGATGTCAACAGCTACTTAAAAGCAAGTACACTGAGCTTTTTAGACAAGGACTTCATTGCTAATCCTAATACCCTAGAGGTTTTGGCTATTAATCTAAATCGACTGCACGTTTGCATGTAGTCTCAATATTATATCCCTCAATCCACAAAATTAGAAATATTTTGCATAATGTCTTTAAATGCTTCATTTAAAACTAGTTTCACATTTATTTAAAGATTGTGCTGGATTTATTAATTATATAATTATGCTCTTTTTCTGGCAAAATAATTGCTTCTCTCATACTATTCTGATGTTTTCCCTTCTGTCTGTCTCTCTCTTTTTTTTTTTTACTCAGCACCCTCTTCTGTAAAATGTCTCTTTCCAGGATAATTGGTGGGGTGGGGTGAGGGAAATCACTAAAGGATGCTCCAGATGGTCAAGTTTCACTACCCTTTGTTAAAATTTCTACTTAGCACCAGTGGAATAAATAGTATATTGTTTTAAGTTTTCTTAAATGATGTGAATAGTACTGACTGCCATCTTTTTCATCTTAAAAGAGAAAAGGAATATTTGCAAATTATAAATTATAAAATGTTTTAAGGGTACTATAATCACCACAAACCCCACCCCCCCCTCAATTCAAGGCAAATGGAATTTTCTAGTAGGCTCTCAAATATTAAATAAATGCCTGATTTAACCTTAAAAAATCGTTCAGTATTTTCGTATATACATATATTCACACTAGAATTGGGGCCTTACTTCTATAGTCAAATTTGAAAGACCTAGTTAATTTGCCCCCCTAACTTTTTAAGAGTCTCTGGTAGAGCTAAAGTTCTAAGTTATACTTCTCTGCTAGACATAAAATATGTAGCTGGCTTACAAAATCAGAATCAGGAAGGCATTCTACTTTGTCTGTGTAGATGAGCATCACAGGCCACTAAGGTGCCCACTCCTAGAAGAGCAGAAATTGATTGAGGAGAGATCCCAAAGAGAAAGACAGAAGCCCAGGTGCAGGTTACCAGGGCAACAAGCCACAGGGCAAATAAGCCTGCACCTGCACATGGTCAGCTGACCAGAAGGGGCAGGGCCCTGGGCCCACATGAACCCCAGGCTGGAACTAGGGAGGGCAGTTCCCTGCTAGCAGCCAGAAGCGAAGGAGCCTCCAGGGAGGAAGTTCCCAGTGACGCAGCAACTGCCTGATATGCTGCACCTGGGCTAATGGGGCTCCATGAGCTCCGCAGGTACCCTTGCCTACTAGACACTTAGTGCCAGGGATGAAGTTCGATGCTTTTAAAGGGGCAGAGCACACCCTGGTCTTTTGTATTATGTTATAGCCCAGGGGCTTATATTTGTTTGCTGTTTATAACACTGGTGGTTTGGGTGAGGCTATTTGGGGAAAGAGGAGACCTCACTGGGGCCCCACTACAGTGTGGGGAGCCCGGCGCCAGTGAGGGCATGGCATTTTGGGGGCATAGACCCCAGTACTAGTGAGGGCGCAACACTAGGGGCACAGAGACAGAGGCAAGAGACAGGGCTGCAGACAGCCCAGGCACCAGTGAGGCACAGAGACAGGGCTGTGGAGAGCCCAGAGAGGACAAGGGGGCCAAATCACAGCAAGGCCTAGACCAGACAATGTCAATGCCATCTGTGAGGCTTGGGGCGTGGTAAAGGGACGGTTGGAGCCACGCATGTAGCCCATAAGGCTGGGGTGTCCTGGGACATCTATTTTGAAATGGGACCCACAAGGGGTCCAGGACCCATGGGGTTCAGGGAAGTCCATCAGGACCGTGCTCAAGTAGGCTTAGAGGCAGCCTCCCTACTCATTACCATTACATCAAGACGTGGCGGGTGAGAATAGAGGGTGCCCAGCAGGCCGTACTGGCACGGTCGAGGGGGCCTAGGGGTAACACGGCCATCCTTGAGGACTCCATCCCATGACAATGAGTAGTTCTTCTATACTTCCAGTGAGAAGCTAGCACCAAACTCATGCTCCTACAGAAGTGAACTCTATCAGTACTTTACCTCACAGAAACAAACATTTGTTGTCATTTTCATTTCAAAGGGACCCACTTACATGACTCCAGAGACAGATCTTCAGTTATCCTGGTGGCATGTGTCTCCCCTCATTCCATGTCAATTGGGAATTTTAACCTAAGATGCTGATATGCCTCTATGTGCTCAAAATTTCACTTCTCCCCATCTTCATAAGTCATGTGTCTCAACAGGACTCCTAGAGTAGATAAGACTTCTACAGGGGCAGTAGCATAAGGATTTTTGGTTTCCTACAAAATACCTTAGTGGTTAGAAACCTTGTTCAGAAGATGAAAGATTTACATTCTGGACCCTTGTCAGCCTCAGTAGCCTTAAATCCATGCATATGGAGTCTCAGCAGAGTACCCTAATTGATCAGGTATGGGGTGGACATGTCACTGCAAACTGCTGAGATACTAGGACAGTTCAAAACAGGTCACTTAAAAATAATAATCAAAAAGGGTATTTTCAGTTCCTCAATTTTGTAGTAGAGAAGGACCAAATCACTTTTTCTTCAATTCATCAAAGTATGTGGGTAAAAAAAATACTTACTTGGACAACTAAAAAGGTTATAGCATGTCCATATTGCCTTCAGGAACTGTGCATAAAAAGAACTTTTTATATAAAGGAAGACAATCACTTACCATCCAATAAAGCTTCACCACATATTTTCCATAGCTATTGTACAGTGGCATATGTCCCTTGATAGCTTTGCATAAGGCATATATATGTTCCCATGGCTTCCAAAAGAGTGCAGGTGTTTCATTTATATTAGCTTTGCCATCATTAATTAAAACATTTGCATTATATAGCCTCCATGCAGCGCAAATTTCACTTATTATCCATCTCATCAGCTGGAAATAGAGAAAAGTCAGAAAACAGACTCAAGTTTTCCACCTGAAATATTTGAAGGTTGATATTAAATTACATTAAATTAATAAAAGACATGATAGTTCCAAATATTAAGTGTCAATTAACATTAATTGACAGAATATAAGTTAACACATGCCATCAAAAATTAATTTTATGCTTCGATTGTTTTGATTTATAAATCAGAAGATCTGAAAAGTCATGCTGAAAGTTTAAAGTTTATACTACAAAGATAGTATCTCTAAAAGTACAACCTAAGTGTAATGGGCTCAGTTTTGTACAGAGTGCAATCAGTATTTTATGTCATTTAATTTCATTTCAAGAAAATGCCCATATCTACTACAGAGCAATAGTCTATCAGCAGAAAGATTGTCCACTTCATTAACCAAATCAGGATTCAAAAATATAATAAGCCCTATATAAGCTGGTACTAATCAAAGGAGAAGTGCTAACAAGTTTTGTAAAATATGGAAGCTGTCTTTCTTATAACTGGATCACACATTCTGTATCATATACTTATGATATCAGGTGCAAATTTCACTGGAAGGATTTTCTCAATCTTTTTTCTTAAATATGCTAGACAGGGCAACTTAATATCATAAAATCATACAATCATAAAACATTAGGGTTGGAAGAGACCTCAGGAGGTCATATAGTCCAACCCCCTGCTCAAAGCAGGACCATCACCAACTATATCATTCCAGCCAGAGGTTTGTCAAATTGGGCCTTAAAAACCTCCAAGGATGGAAACTCCACCACCTTTCTAGGTAACCCATTCCAGTGCTTCATCACCCTACCAGTGAGAAAGTTTTTTTCCTAATAGTCAACTTAAACCTCCCTGTCTGCAACTTGAGACCACTGCTCCTTATTCTGTCAACTCTCACCACTGAGAACAGTCTAGCTCCATCCTCTTTTGAACCCCCCTTCAGGTAGTTAAAGGCTGTAATTAAATCCCTCCTCAGTCTTCTCTTCTGTAGACTAAATAAACCCAGTGCCCTCATCCTCTCCTCAGAAGTCATGCCCCTAGCCCCCTAACCATTTTTGTTGCCCTCTGCTGAACTCTCTCCAACTTGTCCATATCCCTTCTATAGTGGAGGGCCTAAAACTAGACACTGTACTCCAGATGTGGCCTCACCAGTACAGAATAGAGGGGAATAATTACTTCCCTTGATCTGCTAGAAACGCTCCTACTAATGCATCCCAGTATGCCATTAGCCTTCTTAGCAACAAGGGCACATGCTGACTCATCTATCTTACTGTCCACTGTAAGTACAGGTACACTGATATATCTGTCCATATCGTATTGGAACTGATAAAAGGAAAATTGACATTACCAGCAATTGGCTTTTTTGGCTAATGTAGCTGATAATATCACCAATAAATGCTGCGTGCATGCACGCAAGCCACAGTATGTATGCGACTAGGAATGCAGCCCAGTGGCTTGGAGAGCAGCATCTGGCTGGTAAGTCTGTGGGGGGCAAGGGGTGTGGAGAGTGCAACTCAAGGCCCACACAGTGAGGGAGGGAGTGTGGCTGGGGCATCCAGGGGGTGCAGGAAGAGGGGGGGAGCTCTCGCCACTGCGCACACTCCCAGGAGAGGCACAGGGGGGCATGCACTCCCCAGATTTGTGCAGGGGCAAGGGCGGGCTGCCTGCCCACTGCAGGCTCAGGGACAGGGGTTGCACTGGCCTCTTCCCTGCAGGGGGGCTGAACCAGGGCTGTGCTCAGGGCAAGCGGGAGGGTGGGCAGGGGTGGTGCTGGGAGTCTCCCTCCCTGCTAGGAGCCTCCCTCCTCCATACACCCTCTTCCAGCACCATTGCCACCCACCCCAAGCTCAGCCCTGGCCCAGCCCTACCGCCAGCAAGAGGCCAATGCAGCTCCTGGCCCTGAGCCCATAGCGGGCAGCCTGCTTTCACCCTGAACACAAATCTGGGGGCCACATGCCCCCCATGCCTACTGCGGGGGTGCATGTAGCAGTGGGAGCCAGCCCCTTGCACTTCCTGGACAAGCTGCCCATGGCTCCATCCCACGGCCTGCCCCACCATAGCTGGGCAGCAGCAACCCCTGACCCTGCATCAGCCTCAGCCCCATTCTCTCCCTTACCATGGGAGCCTTGATCTGCCCTCAGCGCACCCCTCCCCATGCCCCTTCCTCCCCCACAGACTTACTGGCCAGATGCTGCTCTCCAAGCTGCCGGGCTCCATACTAGCTATCAGATCGATATTGGCTGATATGGCTAGTTAATAATCAGCCATCAGTATCAGCCCAAAAAAATCTTCATTTGTGCAGCCCTAACTATAACTCCCAGGTCCTTTTCTGCACAGCTTAGAGAATTAAGCCTCTGTTTTATTTATGTTACTCAACTATGGTTTAATCAATTAAACAGGAATATGACTACTTTAAAACTAATTATTCTATAGCACAGATTTCCTCCCCTAAAGAAATGGTGATATACATGTAAAGAAGAAATAATACATGAAATACTTAACTTAAAATTGTATGCCTAGAAACGTACTTTCATTTTTATTAGTATTTCTGTCATCTCTGTTGGTCAAGTTGAAACTGACAGCCTTTGACTTGACTTCTCTGAGCACTACTTAAAATGCTGTTTGTGGGAATAAATTTAACCTTAAATGATAATCTGTACTTCCACGTGAATATAAAAATATGTCCTTATTCTTTTCTTTTTTGACCTTTTATCATAAACATATGTTAACTTTCATCAAGTATTAAATCTTAGTCACAAATTAGATTTGTTTTCTTTAAAAAAATGTGTTTGGTCAGCCTTTTATCATGATCTATATATTTATACTTTCAAATTCTAATAGTAGCTAACCATTATTAAAATTGTATTTGATTCCTGAGAAAAGGCTGTGTTGCATGTTTTTCCTACTGAAAAAATGCCCACAATTCATTTCCCATGCCCGCTATATTGTAGGATCAGTCATTTTTTTAAAAGTGAGCTACCATCCATTTTCTACATACCTCACTACCAAATAAGTGTTCATTTCCTGAAAAAAGGTCAAACCAACTTTCATTTTTCACTACCACAGGAACCTGAAAGAGAGGAGGTTTTGCTTAAATGCCTATCATTATTTCATTGAAAAGACTAAACATCAATGAACAGAAATAGTACCCTATAAGTGTAATGCTGCACAAATCCTAAATGTGTCAGTGCATAGTTAAGTGTATAGACAGACATAAGAGTTGTTAGCAATATCAAAGAATACCAATAGAAGTTGTTACTATGGAACTGTTACATCTGAAGGATAGTGTAGAAGCACCGCATATAACCCACACTTCCCCCCTGCCCCGGGTAAAATTGGGGTGTACATTATATGCAGAGAAAAGGGCTCCCCATACAGTGTGGGGTGGGTGAAGGAGTAACATTAATTTTTTGCAGCTCTGGGAACATCACCTATTAATGCTGCCCCCTCTCCCCATCACAGCTGAAAATCAGATCAGGTAAGCATGCATAATTAGTCCATGGCTGGGGCACCAGGTGCAACCCACACTCAGGTTAAACCCATGTACTAGTTCTGCAGCCATCTTCTGAGTCTGACCCAGCATGTCAAGTTTGGGACCATATACTGAGTCAAGGACCACATGCCAAGTCCAGGACTACATTCCAGGTCAGACCCAGCACATGGCTCCTGAGTGCCCAGTGCCCACATGGCCCAGTGCAGGCATATTGGACGGGGTCTCATTGTGCAGCCCCAGCACCAGCATGCCAGATCAAGCCCCAGTGTTGGCACACCAGATTGACCTGCCTGTGCAGCCCCGAGCTCTTAGCCCCAGCATGCAACACTCAACCACAGAGACCCCAGACTTCAGGTACTTGGCTCTACTCCAGGGTAAATTCTTTTTTCTTCTTGGGATTCTTTGAAAAATAGGGTGCATATTATATGTAAGAAAATATGGGTACAAGTGTAGCAAATTCCCTGAAACTTTAACATTTATCTCATTCAGGATCAAGGTTACAGAATGTAGATAAGCTGTAAGAATACAGCATTGTGCAGATATAACAGTTATATCATAACACAGAGGAGCCAGGTAACTTTAGGCCAGTCAGTCTTACCTCCATCCCTGGGAAAATACTAGGAAAAAATCATCAAAATGCGTATTTGTGAAAGCCCAGCAGGGGAAACGATGCTGAAAGGAAACCAGCATGGGTTCATCACAGGTAGATCCTGCCTGACAAATCTTATAGCCTTTTATGACCAGGTTGTCGGGACCCAGGGCAGCCGGACAGCAGCTCTCCCTGACTCCCACCCGGGCAGTTAAGGGTCCGTCAGGCAGGTACTTGTGACGCATGGAGTGGAATTAATTAGGCGGACGCTTATCGGTTGTAAAGCAAGATTATTTACTCACGCCGTCAAGGTGGTGAAAGACGGAGGTTAGATATACTTAGTTAGTTACAGCTTAGAGTTCGTTCGGTCGGTCTGCAGACATATATACGGGCCAGCAGTCTTATCGGGCATGCAGGTCAAGGGTACGCCAGGGAGGTCGCGGCGGGAAGACGCTGACAACTGATCAAATTGTCAGATTTACTCCAAGGTGCGGACAGAGTTGTCTTCGACTTTGGCGGAAATGCAGCAGGGTTTTGTTTGTATGATAGCCAATTGTTTTTCGCCACATCATAAATTTAATTAGAATCGCCAATTATCTAGCAGTCTTCGCTAGGGTGTTATCATAGGGTTACTCCTTGTTTTCTTTGACCAATTATAATGATTTATGTACAGCACAGAAGGCTAAGTTCTATTTCATGTTGGTGTCGCAGTTATAAATTTCTTTTTGACATGCGCAGCAAAAAAACTGTTACTATCTTCTTGTTAGTTAACTCTTAGTTAACCTAGTGCAGACTAAAACTGTTTTTGATTAATATATTTCTTGCTTGTGGCATGGGCAGTACTTAATTTGGTTGTGACA